TTTACCCCGTTGATCCCGGCCACCGGGCCCGCCCCCCCGGAGCTCGAGGCCGCGCCGCCGAAGAGAGGGTCGCCCAGGGCGGGCCCGCCCACCGCCATCTTCTTGGAGCCGCCAAATTTCCCCAGCGCCTGCAGTACCGCACGCTGGATGGCCCTGTCCGCGTCGCGGCCGCCTGTCTCGACAAGGGCCCTGGAGTCGAGGTCGGGCTTCCTCTCTGGAGCCGCGCGGGCGGCCTGCCCGCGCGGGGGGGGTCCGTCGGCCCGCCAGAGCAGCCCGCGCGCTGTCGCCAGGACCTCTTCTGCCGCCCGGGGCCGGACAAGCGCCGGGGCTGGCCGCGGCCCCAACGGCGGCGCCGCCGCCCTGGGTGGAGCAGAGGGCGAGCCCCGAGAGCGGGACCAGCCCGGGGCAAAAAGAGCAGGCGCCAGCACCCCCAGGGCGAGCCCCGCCCGAAGGAGCGACCCCGGCCCAGCCGAATGAGCTGCCACAGAAGCGAGGCCACGGGCCATCGCGCTTCAGTTCTCCACTTGGTCGACGCGGCTCGAGGAGCCCCTCAGCTGGCCCCCAATGGCACGCAGCTCGCTCCTGAAATTCCCGAGGGCGCTCTGAAGGTCGTCGCGCGACACGTTGATGCGCCGAGGGGCCACCGCCCTCTTGGCGCTGCCCGCCGCTTGCCCCTGCCTCCCTGGACGCCGCGCGCGGCCCCCCGCCGCGGGAGGAGCGGCGGGCGCGGCCCTGTCTGCGGGCGCGGCCAGCGGCAGCGTCACCCCCTGAAATGGGCCGCCTGGCGGGCGGGACCATGGGCCCCCAAGGCCCGCCAAGGGCCCAGCCCCACCCGCGCCCAGGCCGCCTGCCACGCAGGCGCCACGCGGACGACATGCCCAATACTGCGCGGCACCCTCGGGGGCTGCGTCGACCGCGTCTTCTCCTGCGCCCTCACCGTCGCGCTCGTCGGCCGCAAGATACCTCCCCCATCGACCTGACAGTCGACGGAGAATGGGAAGCCGACGCGCCTCGGGCCGCTCTGCGCCGCGGGAGCGGGGAATGCGACAGGTCGAAGCAGGATCCCGACGTTCCAGTCCTCGGCCTGGGGGGCGAGCTTGCCCCGCTCGAGCAAGCATGGCTGGGCGGCCCCGCCCGCCAAGTCGAAGAACTCGATCACCTCGCCCTCCGCGCAGCTCTCGGCCAAGCTCACCACGAACGCGGGCGAGACTTTCACGCAGGCAGCATATGCGGGCATCTCTTCGTCGAGGGCCGACCGCAGCGCCACCGAGACAGAGTCTACGGAGGCCTCGCACGGGAGACAGACAGTAGGCACTACGATCAGAGGCTCCTCGAACTCGATGTCGCGGAGGTCCTCGGTGAGCCCATGGACGGCGAAGGGGCCGTCGACCTCCACGAACTTGACCCCGACGACGCGGGTTTCGCACGGTTCTGCCGCGCTGGCGGCGCGGGCTCCTGCCATTGGCAGCTCGAGGAGCCATGAGCGCAGCAGGGCGCCCCCCGTCTGTTGCAACGCACCTGCAGGCAGAATCACCTGCGTGCCTTGGCCCAGTCGAAGACCCTGACGATGGGCGGGGGGGTGGGGCCCTGCTGCTCGGAACAGAACTTGTCCATCGCCTCGGCCATTAAAGGAAACCGACGCAAACGATCACGTACGCCTGTGTACCTACCGTCCCCGAGCCTGGCCACGATCGCCTGCCACGCCATCGCTCCGACTCTGTGCAAACCCACAGTGTCCTCGCTGGAACCGGAGACGGCCTGGACCGCATAACAGTGATTGCCAGCGGCAGCGGCGGCCCAGACCACAGGTCTGGCACCTGCCGACCCGCTAGGCGGCCTGCGTCGGGTGCTCTCTGGGATGAAGACCAAGGCACGGCCTCTGGGTCCTCCGCCGCTTCAGACACGGCCTCCACGCCGCTGGGGGTGGGCATGGAGTTGGCCTCGAATCCAGGAGCAGGCTCGTGGACTGCCCACGCCCTGGCCGCGGGCCCCCCACGCATTAAGTGCGGGCGCGCCTGGCGCGCAGCGCGGGGCGGGCTCGGCCCAAGAAAGCTGCAAATCACTTCGTTCTACTATCATTACCGCTGTGCTCTCGTCATCATCCTCCTCTTGCTCCTCCAACTGCTCCTCGTCCTCCTCCTCCTCCTCATCATCATCATCACCACCATCACCACCACCACCATCACCACCACCATCATCATCATCATCAGCAGCAGCAGCAGCCATCACCACCACCACAACATTCGTCATCGTCATCATCATCATCATCATCATCATCATCATCATCATCATCATCATCAACATCACAATCATATTCAATATCACGACCATTGTCATCATCATCATTACCATAAGCAGCATCAGCATCAGCATCTCCACCATTAACATCATCATCAACAGCATCATCACCAGCATCACCGCCATCAGCACCATCCATATCATCACCACCGTCATCATCAGCATCAACAGCTGCATCATCATCATAATCATCACCATCACCATCATCGTCATAACATCATCACCATATTCAGCATCATCGTCAACACCATCATCATCAGCATCATCAGAAGTAATCACCACCACCACCACCACCACCATCATCATCAGCATCATCAGCGTCATCATCACCAGCATCATCATCACCACCATCAACATCATCAGAATTAGCATCAGCATCATCATCAGCATCATCACCCATATCATCAGCAACGTCATTATCATCATCAACATCTTCATCATTATCATCATCAGCATCATCAGCATCAGCACCACCGTCATCACCCCGATAAAAATCATTATAATCGTCATCATCATAAACAGCATCCTCACCATCATCATCATCGACATCATCAGCATCAGCATCAGCATAATCATCGTCATCATCAGCATCTTCATCATCATTTGCATCATCAGCATTACAATCATCATCGACATCATCATCATTATCAGCAGCAGTATCATCATCACCCCCATCATCATAATCATCATCATCGATATCGTCATCATCTTCGTCATCATAACATTCAGAAGTATCAGCATCATCATCCTCATCAACACCATGATCAGCATTAGCATCATCATGACCACCATCATCATCATCAGCATCAGCATCAGCATCACCATCAAAATCATCATCACCGTCATCGTCATCATCATCATCGTCATCGCGACCATCATCAACATCAGCAGCATCATCATCCTCATCCTCAGCATCACCGCTGTCACCGTCATCTTCGATATCATCGTCCTCATCATCATCAGCAGCAGCATCAGCATCAGCATCATCATCATCATCACAACCATCATTATCATCGTCATCATCATCCTCAACAGCAGCACCATCATCATCGACAACATCAGCATCATCACCATCATCGACACCATCAGCATCATCATCATCAGCAGCATCATCATCGGCATCGTCATAAGCATCAGCATAGTGATCGTCCTCATCACCATCATCACCATCATCAGCATCATCGGCATCATCAGCATCAGCATCAACATCAGCATCGTCATCAGCAACACCATCATCAGCATCGTCAACGGCATCAGCATCAGAATCATCATCATCATCATCATCATCAGCATCATCATCATCACCAGTCACATCATCATCACCAACACCACCATTATTGTCATTATCATCCTCATCATCAGCATCATCAGCATCCCAATCATCATTATCATCGACATCATCAGCAACAGCATCATCATCAGCATCATCAACATCACCAGCATCAACAGCATCATCAGCCTCAGCATCATCATCAGCATTATCATCCTTATCAGTATCATCCATATCATCATTAACGTCATCATCATAAGCAGCATCAGCATCATCACCATCACCACCACCACCACCATCATTGTCATCGCCATCTCTGTCGTCATCAGCAGCATCAGCATCATCATCACAATGATCCTCATCATCATCGTTATCATCATCCTCAGCATCAGCATCATCATAATCAGGATCATCACCATCACCACCATCATCAACATCCTCAGCATCCGCATCATCATCATCAGCACCATCAGCATCAACATTGTTATCATCATCACCACTATCACTATCACTATCACTATCATCGACATCATCATCATCATCATCAGCAGCAGCATCATCATCATCATCATCAGCATCATCATCTTCACCATCATCGTCACTATCATATCAGTATCATAAGCAGCAGCATCATCATCACCATCATCAGCATCGTCATCATCTTCAGCATCAGCAGCATCATCATCATATCATCATCATCATCATCATCATCATCATCAACATCATCATCATGTTCATCAGCATCATCACCACCACCACCCCCGTCATTATCATCATCAGCAGCATCACCCTCAGCATCATCATCATCGACATCATCAGCGTCAGCATCAGCATCATCATCAGCATAATCCGCATCATCAGAATCATCATCACCATCATCAAGATTATCAGCCTCATCATCATCATCATCGTCAACTTCATCACCATCAATATCATCAGCATCGTCAGCATCATCAGCAGCAGCATCATCACCATCATCATCATCGACATCATCAGCATCAGCACCAGCATCATCAGCATCATGTCCACCATCATCGCCATATCATCCGCTTTACAATATGCATCATCATTCTCATCAGTATCATGCTCATCAGCATCATCACCACCACCACCATCGCTATCATCGTCATGGTCATCATCAGCAGCTTCAGCAGCATCATCATCATCATCATCATCATCACCGTCATCATCATCGACATTATCAGCATCAGCATCTTTATCATCATCAGCATCAGCATCATCATCAGCATCACAACCATCATCATCATCATCATCATCATCATCATCAGCAGCATCAACATCATCAGCATCATCACCCTCATCAGCAGCAGCATCATCCTCAGCAGCAGCAGCATCATCAGCATCATCATGCCTCCTCGTCCTCCCTCCTCCCTCCTCCCTCCACCCCTCTCCTCGGCGCCAGCCCGGGGGCCTGGGTCTTGCGCGTCCACCTGCGGCTGCAGGATGCGCTCGTTGCTGCGGAGGGGGGGGGGGTCCACGGCCGCAGGGCGCAGGGCGGGAGGGGGGGGGAGGCACGGTTAGCGGTCCAGGCGGGAGCAGGTGGCCAAAGCCTTCGGCGGATTGGACTTGTCAATCAGGCGTTTATCCTCCTCCTCCTCCTCCTCCTCCTCCTCCTCCTTCTCCGCCTCCGCCTCCTCCTCCTCCACTTCCTGCTCCTCCTCCTCATCCTCCTCGACACCCTGGATGGAGCGGTGCTGCCAAATATGATGATTGTGCTGGACGTGGTGCCGCCGACAATCGGTGTCGCGATGCTGCTGGATTCGCAGCGGCTGCTGCGCATGACACTTTCGATTCCCATCGCGCTGGAGACAATGCAGACGTTCGGTGCGTGGTAGGAGGGCGAAAAATGAGGGATTCCAATGTTCGATGCCAACGCGTCGGAATGAGATAAGAAGGAGCAGCAGGAGGGAGAACGGACGAGGGGGAGAAAAGAGGTCGAAGTGAGTCTGCCTGTTCTGGCCCCCTCGGGGTTTCCGATCCCGCCTCGGGGCTTGAGACGGGGCAACGACGCCCGTCGTGATTTGTTCGCGGCGCCTGGAACTCGCGTTCCTCCTCCTTCGGTCTGACTTTCGAGCCCCAAGTCATGCCCAGGGGAGGCCGCTCTTCGAGACGACTCCAGAGTCCCTGAAAAGCTCTCGGACGAGGCGCAGCTGACGGAGAGCACCCCCAGAGCCGAAAACCCCCCGAACAACTCCTAGGAGGTCTGGGGAGGACGAGTGGGCATCTCCTCCGACGCCGCAGTTTCTCCAGTGCTTGGTCCGCAAAGCTCTCGAGCCCATCCCCAGGGCCTGCTCTTCCACCTAAGTCGCTCCGTGACAGCCTGTGGGCCAGGAAGCGGCCCACCCCCTCCAAAGGCCATGTAATAAAACAACAACAACAACAACAACAACAACAACAACAACAACAACAACAACAGCAACAACAACAACAATAACAACAACAACAACAACAACAACAACGACAACAACCACAACAACAACAACAACAACAACAACAAAATAACAACAACAAAATAACAACAACAAAATAACACCAACAAAATAACAAACGAACACGGTGAAAGCATTGGATAAGGAACCATTGGAGAAGGAATACAGGGTCTGGAGGCTTGGTCCTGGACCATGGAAAACCACCGCTGCCCTCACCAGATAATGCATCCTCCAGGGTCTGAAGCCGCCTGGGTACACTCCGTCACGAACGCCCCAACTATTCTCAGGGAAAACCATAGTTCTGCGAGGGGGGGAGCTCCACAGACATGCGACGTCCTGATTTTTTCATTACGCGGTCCCCCGAAGGCTCGACCATTTCCTCGGGACCGACTCTTCACCCTGAGTCGTTGTCTGACGGTCCTGGGGCCCGGCGAGGGCCCCCAGAGGCCGGAACGAGCGAACTACCTCCCGTCCTGATATGTTCGAGACTCGAGGGGGGGGGGACTCCGACGCGCGCTCCCCGAGGGCTACGGGCGCGCGCGCGCGGCTGCGGGGGAGCGGCGCTCCTGGCAGCGACACCAGACGCCTCCGCCTCCTGGGCCGCGCCCCCGCGGCACCAGGCTCGCGCGCACGCGCGCCCAGAGCTCCGACGCCGACCGACGCTTTTTCCGCCCGTGGGCCCCGCATGCCTCGACCGCTACCCGCGGGGACAGGCTTGCTGGCCCTGGGCGCCGTCATCTGACCGCCCCGTAGTGATGAGGATGAGGATGGTGATGATACCGAAAATTGTACTGGTGATGATGATGGAAGGAAGATGATGATGACGATGATGACGATGATGATGATGATGGTGGTGATGGTGGTGATGATGGTGATGATGGTGATGATACATGATGCTGGCGATGAGTGGTGACTACGCAGATGGAATGGTGATGATTAGAATGGCGATGATCACGGACGATGACGATGAAGAAGAATATTGATGATGATGATGATGATGATGGTGATGATGGAGATGATGATGTGGATGACACATGATGACGATGATGATTGTGATGATGATGGCGGTACTGATTATGATGGTGATGATGATGGTGGGAGGTAATGATGACGGTGGTTATGATTATGATGGCGATAATGATGACGATAACGAGACATGATGAAGATGATACTGATTGTGATGCAGGTGGCGATATAATGCAATGATGATGGTGATGATGGTAACTGGGGAAGGTAGTGATGATGGTGATGATTATGATGATGAGAAGCTAAGATGGTGATGATAAATCATGCAGGTGGTGATGATGATGTTGGTGCTGGTGATGGTAATGATGATGATTGATGATGACGCTGATGGTGATAGTGATTATGACGATGACTGGTGATGATGGCGATGCTGATGCTGATGATGATGATGGTGCTGTTGATGATGATGACGACAGATGATGATGATGACGATGCTGATGATGGTGATGATGATGATAGTCGTAATGGAAAACGATGGTGATGAGGGTGGTGATGACGACAAATGGTCAAGAAAATGGTGATGGTGATAAATGCTGATGATGATAAGTGGTGAAGGTGGTGAAGGTGGTGATCATGGTGATGATAAGGTGGTGATGATGATTATGGTGTTGATGATTATGAATGATGGAGACAGATGGTGATGATGATGCTGATGATCACGATGGTGATGATGATGATAAAAGGTGATGGTGATGGTGAGAAAGATGATGACAAATGGAAACGATGATGATGGTGATGGCGATGCTGATTCAAGATGATAATGGTGGAAATGATGACGACGCTGATGATTAACAAAGGAGACAGGGAATGATGATGATGGTGATGATGGCAGATGGTGATGAAGCTGATAATGCTGATGGTGATGATGATGGTGATCATGAGGGTAAAAGTAAGTGATGAGGTGGTGATGATGGTGATCCTGGTGATAACTGGTGGCGATGATGAAGATAGCTATGATGTGGATGATACTTGGAGACGGTGGTGATAATGGTGATGATTGTTTAAGTTCATGGTGATGATGGTGATGATGGTGATGATGATGATGCCGGTGATGGTAACGACAAATAACGATGATGCTGGTGGTGATGATGGTACATGTTGGTGATGATGGTGGTGAGGATGCTAAACGATGACAATGAAGATGAATGATGGTGCTGATGATGGTGATGATGAATGGTGGGGATGAAGTATTATGAAGATGGTTATGATGATCGGAAGAGGCAAAGGTGATGATGGTGGTGAAGATGGCGAGAACTTATGATGATGAAGATGATTATGATGATGGTGAGTAATGATAATGATGGTGATGATGAAGGTGATGATGTCAGTGATCCTTGTGGTGATGATGATGATGATGCTGGTAATGATGGTAGTGTTGGTGATGATGATGATGGCGATGATAATGATTATGATGATGATGATAAAGGTGGTGATGGGGAGAATGATGAGGATGGTAACGATGAGGATGATCACATCACGATGACAATGATGAGCATGACGTCGATGATTATGAAGGTGATGAAGCGAGTGAAGATGATGATGACAAAGATGATGATGCTGATGGTGGTAATGATGAGGATGAAGATGAGACGACGATGATGGTGATGATGATGACGATGATGGTAATGATAATATGCTCCACTGCACCGCTGCACCGTTGATGGTCCCCGGGTCCCGAGGACGGCCCACGGAAACGAAAACACACGTAAACAAAAGCATCTGGCACGACCCAAATTTGGGAAGCGCTTCCTAAGCGGCATCGCTTGGCACATTGCAGTACATTGCTTGGCATTGCCTGGCATTGCATGGCTTGGCGCTGCATTGCTTGGCGTTGCCGAGAGTTGCCTAGCATTGCTTGACGTTGCTTGGCATTGCTTGGCAATGCTAGCCATTGTCTAGCGCTGCTTGGCATTGCTAGCCATTGCTTGGCGTTGCTTGGCGTTTGCTTGTCGTTGCTTGGCATTGCATGGCATTGCTTGGCATTGCTTGGCGTTGTCTGCCATTGCGTAACATGTTTTGGCATTTCTTGGCACTGCTTGCCATTTGCTTGGCATTGCTTGGCATTGCCTGGCAGTGGCATGGCATCCCTTGGCATTGCTTTGCATTGTTTGTCCGTGTTTGGCACTGCTGGGAGTTTCCAGGCCTGCCTCCGTGTTGCTCGGGACTGCTGGGCATTGCTTGACATTGCTTGACATTGCTAGCCATTGCTTGGCATTGCTCGGCATTGCTTGGCATTGCTTGGATGCGATTGGCCATGCTTGGCACTGCTTGGCAGTACTGAGTGTTGCTTGGCGCTGCGTGGGATTGCCTCGCAATGTTTGGCATGAATTGGCTCTCCTTGGCATTGCTTGGTATTGCTTGGCACTGCTTGGCAATAATTGTTACTTGGCATTGCTTGACATTACTTGGCATCGCTTGATATTGCTTGGCATTGCTTGGCATTGCTTGGCATTGTTTGGCTTTGCTTGGCATTGCTTGGCATTGCTTGGCAATGCTTGGCATTGCATGGCGTTGCTCGGCATGGCTTGGCAGTGATTAGCATTGGCTTGGCGTTGCTTGGCATTGGTTGGCATTGCTTGGATTGCTTGACATTGCTTGGCATCGCTTGGCATTGCTTGGAAAGTATTGGAATTGGCTTGGCGTTGCCTGGCGTTGTTTGGCATTACGTGGCGTTGCGTAACATTGCTTGGCATTACTTGGCATTGCTTCGTATTACTTGGCACTGCTTGGCATTGTTTGGCATTGCTTGGCACTGCTACGCTTGGCGTTGCTCGACGTTGCCTCGCATTGCTTGGCATTGCTGCGCATTGATTGGCACTGCTGGGCATTGCATTGCTTGACTTGGCATTGCCTTGTTTGGGCTTCCTTCGCTCTGTTTGGAAGTAAGATTCACCCATGGATTGGAGTAAACCTGACCTCATCTAGCGGAGCGCACAAGGGTGCAGGGGGAGGGGGAACAGGACAATTCGAAGCAGGCTACTTCTACACACAAGGCCCGCGGCTTCTGAGAGGCAGCCTCCTTTTACGAGGCCTCCCCCCCTCACCCAGCCACCCCCTCTGCGCGTGGCCGACTCTTGGAACGACGGATTCCAGTGTCAGCGTCAGAGGCTTTAGGACAGCCGCGCCTGATCGAGGAGCATGTGGGGCGCTGAGCCTGCAAGCCCACCGTCTACGCTGATGCAAGGTGCAGCAGTTTCGGGTACGCGGGAGCGGAGGGGGAGAAAGGTAGCGGAGGGAGCGACGGAAGGCGAGGGGCTGGCGACGACGAGGGGGTCGGAGAGGCAGAGGCGAAGGGGGATGGGGAAGGGAGTCGGGGAAGAGGAGAAGGGGGAGGAGGGGCCTGCCAAGTGTCAGGAGAAACCTCCCTCCTTCTTGCCTTATTCTCCCTTCGCCTCCTTGCCACCCCCCCTCCCTCACCCTCCCTACTGTTTGAGCATACTCCGTATCAGCACCGAGTCTCGGAGCACCGCTGACAGGAGCACCGCTCTTTCGGTGTTCCGGCCAGCGCGACACCTGGCTGAGTCCAGCCAGCTGGTCGCTCTGCCGCTGCTGACCGTGCTGCTTGCCTTGCTCCCCTCCCCCAGATCCGCCCAGCCGTTTACCCTGGCCGCAAGAGCCCCTGGAAGTCGTCTTAGACTCATTGTCTTTCTCATCCCCAGACTCTCCATCTCCTCCTCCGTCCGTCCTCCTCCGTCCCGTCTATGGCTCCGCCTCCCGCTCCTCCTTTCGACGTGTCCAGTCTAGCTCCTCTCATCCCCGATTCCCCCACCTCTTCCTCATCGTCCTCCTCCTCCTCCTCCTCCACTTTCTCCTCCCCCCGCTCCTTCTCGTGACCCGCTTCCTTATCCTCCCCCCTCCCTCCCTCTCTCCCTCCACCCCTGCCCCCACCTCCCCCTCACCCTGCCTCTTCCCGTCCGAAGTCATCCTCCTCCATTCGGGCCGCGTCCACTTCGACACTCCGACCATCCTCCGTCCTCCACCCCCGCTCCACCACAGGTCCTTGCTGGGCCTCACGACCACCTTCGGCCTCCGCGCGCTGGCGGGCTCGTGCACGGGCTGGAGCGCGTCCTCGCAGCGGAGCCGGTCGACTCAGACGCACGCGCGCGCGCACGCTCGCAGGCGCGCGCGCGCGCGCGGGGATGGGTGCCCGACGGAGGTCGGAGCGGCGAGGGCAGGGAGGCACGAGGGCGCCCGCCCCCTGCTGGGGGCTCCAGAGCTGGGCCAAGACGGCGTGTTCCCCTCCTCCTCCTCCTCCTCCTCCCCCTCCTCCTCCCCCTCCTCCTTCTCCTCCTCCTCCTCCTCCTCCTCCTCCTCCTCCTCCTCCGAACGCCGACCACAGCGTCCCCACAGGGGCGGAGGTCGACCGAGGCCTCGCCCAGCGCCCACGTGCCCTCTGCGGGGCTGCTGCCCGCCGGGAGTCCCTGTGGGAGCCGATGCGAAAACCTCACCTCCGAGCGGGCCTCCCTCGCGCATGTGCTCGTCGGAAGGCCGGGCTGCGTCTCCCACCGAGGGCGCGGCCTCTCAGCCAAGGGGCGCAGGGCACCCACGAGCTTCTACATCATCGATCCATGTCAGCGCCCAGGTGGTGTGAGAGCAGGTGGCCCGGGAAGGTGATGACGAAGATGACGCACACACGGGCAGAGAAAGCCAGCCGGGGGCGACGAGCCCAAGAAGAGGAGGGGTTCTGCCCATGGGGCAGGGCGAACAAGAGGAAGGAGGGCCTTCAATTTGATCCCCACCCTTCCGTCCGCGAACAAGTTCAGCGCCTCTGGCTCGTCCGCGCGTGCGCGGATCCTCCCGCCGCTGTGCAGGCTGATGCAGCACTCGCCCTTCACCTGGAGCAAAATACCACGGAGAGCAAGGTGAGGGCATTAGGAATTCTGTCTCCACGCAAACAAGCTCATCCCCAAGCAATCCGCATCCCCTCGAGGGGGCTTAGATTAAGACATCAAGCCACGAGAAGTCACCATCACGTCTAGGGAGCTTTGAACGCCGCCGTGCAGGCCAATGGTTCGATACAGAGCCGAAGAGAAGGAGGAGGAGGAGGAGGAGAGCCGGAAGAAGAGGAGGAGGAAGAGGAGGAGGAAACCCTTAGATAAGGAATCCAGGGTCTGGAAGCCGGTGGGACATCAATGGAAGCCTGGCCATTGATACCACTGCCGCCCTCATCAGAGAAGGAACCCTCCAGGGTCTGAAGCCTCCTGGGCACACTCCTCCACGAAACCCACCACCGCACCACGGAGAGTCTGACACATTCGCGTCGTGTCGACCTCGGCGTTGGTTCCTGACGCCGTGGGGGTCGTTCAATCTTGAACGATCGGCCGTTTTCGAGACGTCAGATCGCTCAACATCGACCATCTCTGGGTCGCCAGCGGCGTTCCACGCTTCCACGCCAGCGGCGGGGGCCACCGCTGGTCGACACGGCGCGAACCTACCACGAGGGGGCATGCCTGCTCATGTTTTTGATGCCCGCGGGGCGTCGTGATGGTCACACCTGTGCTTTTTTTTTCTCCGAGGGAGCAACGAGCCACGGCGCAATGCGCCAGGCCGGGGGCAGCAGAAAGCGCAAAAAAAGTCTAAAAACAAAACAAACAAACAAAAAAGCGCGACCCCAATTGGGGGAAGCTTCCTATTGCATGGGCGCATGGTTTGGCATTGCTTGCCAGTGCTTTGAACTGCGTTGCATTGTTTTGCATTGCTTGGCGTTGCTTGCGATTGCTCGGCACTGTTTGGCTTCGATTGGCATGTCTTGGCATTAAGTGGCACAGCTTCGCATTGTGTGGCATGTCTTTGCATGTTTGGGCATCGCGTTGCATTGCTTGGCATTGCTTTGCAATGCCTGGGAACTCGAAGAACGAGAACGGGCAACGTAACAATAGAAGGCACTGGAGGCGGGGAACCCGAGGAACCGCGGAACCCGAAGAACCTCGGGGAAACGGGCAAGGTAACAATAGGAGACACAGTGAGCGGGGAACCCGAGGGACCCGAAGAACCCGAGAAACCCGAGAAACCTCCGAGCAACGGGCAAAGTAACAATGTGAGGCACCAACCTTTAACCAAGTAAGAACCCCTGGAGCGAGCTTACATGGGGGATGTCCGCTGAGCAGACCCACGGCAGGATGAAGAGGACAAGGAGGAGGAGGAGGAGGAGAAGAGGGAGGACGACGACGACTCGGTCAGTGAATATGCGTCCTCACGGGTACTTCTATTTTTACCAACTTTACTTGCCTCACGTATTTCCGCACTGACCTGCAGCCTTAAGTTCTTGCCGCCAGTTCTAAAGCGGACCTTGTTCCAGCCTGGACGCTGCAAGCATAGTACGTGATGTCCGCCCAACGTAAAAGAGGAGGAAGAGGAGGAGGAGGAGCCCATCGTAAGAGAGGTGAAGTCGTCACCGACCACGGCTAAAGACCCCGTGGCCTCCTGACCCTCTCGACGCCGTGCTCGCCAGAAGGATCAGCAGCGACGACGGAGGAAGCGCGAACAGCAGCAGCGCCGGCAGACGAGTCGGCCGAGCGGAGGGAGCAGGCGGGGGCCGCAGGGCGGGGCCCGCCTGAAGCGTACCAGAGGAGGAGGAGGAGGCGGAGGAGGCGGAGGAGGAGGAGGAGGAGGTGGAGGAGGAGGAGGAGGAGGAGGTGGAGGAGGAGGAGGAGGTGGAGGAGGAGAAGGCGGAGGAGGAGGAGGAGGAGGTGGAGAAGGAGGTGGAGGAGGAGGAGAAGGAGGAGGAGGAGGAGGAGGTGGAGGAGGAGGACACGCCGTGCCGGCGTTCTGGCTGCATGGCGCGGCACGCCTCGGCGCCGCAGGGCGCCCCCGGCCTCCGACGTCGCTGGCCCCTGGAGCGCCGGGCCCCATCCCTGGGACAAGCTGTCTGGTCGCAAGGACTCTTGCACCGGTGAGAGCACTGGGGGCCCGGTATGTCGATGCTCTCGGCGGGCGTTCTGCTGCTTGGGCCTCGACCGTAGGGCAGGCCATCAAGAGCCACCATGGGCAGGATGTTCATGGCCCTCGTCGAGGGGACGGGCCGGGTGAAGGAACCGCTGGAGGAGGAACCCAGGGTCTGGAAGCCGATGGAACTCCGATCGTGGACTGGCCATGGATATCACTGCCGCCCGCATTAGAGAAGGAGCCCTCCAGGGTCTGAAACCACTGGGCACACTCCTTAACGAACGCCCCCACCGTAAGAGAAAGCCAGGACGACGATAAAATCGGGAGAAGAAACATCGCCGTGTTCACCGTTGACAGTTGACCCATTGAGGAGAGAGAGAGAGAGAGGGAGGGAGGGAGAGAGAGAGAGAGAGAGAAAAAAAAAAAATATAAAGAGAGCGAGAAAGAGAGAGGAAGGAAAAGAGGAGCGCCAACAGCAGGAGAAGAACGAGTGTGAAGGAGGGAGGAGGAGGAGGAGGAGGAGGAGGAGGAGGAAGAGGAGAAGAAGAAGAAGAAGGGCGAAGGACGGGGAGAGGACGAGGAGTAGGAGCATGAGCAGGAGCAGCGGCAGCAGGAGCAGGAGGCACGGGGGGAAGGGGCAAGAGGAGAGGTGGAGGAGAGGGGGGCAGGCGGAGGCGGGCGCAGGAGGACGGGTGGGAGGACGGAAACGACGAGGACGGGGAGGGAGACGGGGGCAGGGGGAGCAAGGGCCAGGCCAGAAGGACCCCGCGGCGGCGGCGGCGCTAGTTTCTGACACCGAAGGGATCGCTTGACTTGGAACGGTCGCGGCTTCTGGATAGCGCTATTCCTTCGATGTCGGCCGATTCCAGGCCACTGGCGGCGTTCAGCCTTGAGCTCGCCGCCGCGGCGACTCGACCCGAACTCGCCGCACGGGTAACCGAAGCATCTTCCCCGTGCCGCCCCGCCCGATGGTCTGCGGACGGCCCACGGCATCGAGTGACGAGAACTATCCGCCACCGTGCCTCGTGCACGCTGAGGCATGGAAGAATGCCAAGGTCTGTTTGGTAGGGCTGTTGTAATCTAATTCCCTACCTAGGCTCTGCCTAGAGGGTTCTTACTTTGTTTGCTTAAAGGGGCCGGGCAGTGCAAAACGCCCTGGGCGGTTCCCCCAGTCCCCGCCCCGCGGTTCCCCAAGTTGCGCCCCATGGGTTCACCCACCTTAGCTTAGCTAAGCTAAGCTTAGCTTAGCCTAGTCTAGCTTTGCTTAGCTTAGCTTATCTCATCTTAGCTTAGCTTAGCTTAGCTTAGCTTAGCTTTGCCTAGCCTAGCTTAGCTTAGCTTAGCATAGCTGGACTTACCTTAGCTTAGCGCAGCGCAGCATAGCGCAGCGCAGCATTAGCACAGCATAGCTTAGCATAGCATAGCCAAGCATAGCATCGCATAGCATCGTATAGCTCAGCATAGCACACCATAGCATATCATAACATAGCATATCATCGCGCAGGATATCATTGCATAGCATAGCAGAGCATTGCTTAGCATAGCACAGCGCAGCATAGCATGGCATAGCATAGCACAGCATGACATAGTATATCATAGCAGATCATAGCATAGCATAGCGCAGCATAGCATAGCATAGCCTAGCCTAGCATAGCATAGCATAGCGCAGCATAGCATATCATAGCATAGCCTAGCATATCATAGCATAGCGCAGCATAGCATAGCATAGCATAGCGTAGCATAGCGCCGCATAGCATAGCATAGCATAGCATGGCGCATCATAGCATAGCATAGCATAGCCTAGCACAACACAGCGCAGCCGAGCGTAGGTGTAGATGTAGATGTAGATGTGAGTCTCGCTGTTGATGTTGATGTAGATGTAGATGCAGGTGTAGATGTACATGTAGCTGTCGGTGTTGATGTAGATGTTGCTTTCCTAAATGCTCCAACTCCTAGATAGGGTCGCACTGGGATAATAAGGACCGCCCCACCCCCTCCCGCATGGCAGCCAATCCCTGCAACACCCTTTCCACGCGTGCCCGGGCGAGGATGGAACACTTCCCACATGGCAGCTGTTGCCTGAACCCTCATTCCATGCGCGCCCGCTGGAGGATTGCACACTTCCTGCATGGCTGCCACCTCCTAGACTCCTAGACCCCTCATCACACGCGTACCCGTTCGAGGATCGTGCATTCCCCGCATTCCCAGGCGCTGCTCCCAAGCTCTCCAGGGCATCCCAAGCCACGATCCCTCGCTACAAACGATGGTTCCGCGTCCCGAGCTTCCAAGACGGCCAGCGCAGGCAACCAAGGACACCAATATGCCCAAGACGCCGCGAAGACGGCCCAAGATGCCCCCAAGGCGGCCGCATATTGCTTCAAGACGGCGCAAGATGCCTCCAAAAGGACCCAAAATAGCCACAAGAGGACGTCTGACACGGTCCGGAAAGACCAAAAATCAATAGTTTCCCGGGCTCTTGAATGATGATCGCATTCTCGCCTCTTCGGGCTGCCGTCAGCTCAAGACGGCCCAAGAGGACTCCATGATGGTCCAAGAGGCACCCAAGACGACCCCAAGACGGCGCCAACGCCAAGACGGCCCCCAGACACCCACCATACGGTCCAGAGGGCCCCAAGACGGCCCAAGACAACTCCAAGCCGGCGTAAGAGGGCCCCGGGAAAGACAAGAAGGGCCCCAAAGACTGCCTCACAGGAGGCCGAGACAACCCCAAGACGGCCCAAACCAGTTGCCTCATCAGCACCAGCATCATCATCAGCAGCAGCAGCATCATCAGCATCATCATCATCATCATCATCATCATCATCATCATCATCATCATCATCATCAGCAGCAGCAGCAGCATCATCATCATCATCATCATCATCATCATCATCATCATCAGCAGCAGCAGCAGCATCATCATCATCATCATCATCATTATCACCATCGT